CTCCCTGCTGCCAACTCCGGTGCCAGGGTCCCGGGACCAGCTTCTCCCACAGCGCGACTGCCATCCCCCGGGAAACACCCTTAGGCCTGGGCCGGCCCTCTGCCCCTCGGGGTCCCCCGCACACAGCCTGGGGGGAGAGCTGCAGGAAAACATTTCTTCTGTGGCTCAGGTGACTGTGACTGCCATTGAGTGGGACCTTCTCCCCATCCGACATTTTCCTGTTTTATATGAAAAATAAAACCCATTTAATGAAACAGGCGTGTGTGTGTGTGTTCATTTATTTTCATCACAGCCTGTTCCTTGAAGACAACTGTATCTGTTTTAGTTTGACCTGAGAACGGGTTTCTTTAAGGTGAACACATAGAAACGCACCCAGAATCAAGTCTTTCCCTCCACTGAGCACGCTGGGTGATTTGGGGGATGTTCTGTTATGGCACACATCTTGGATTCTCAGTCCATTAGCTTCTTCCAAGTCACAATAAATTTCCTGAATATTCTAAACCTTTGCCACTGGGAGGCAGTGCACTTGCCAGGACTTGTTAGGCTCTTGACTAATTTACCTGGTGACGTTTCTATCTTAACAATCCTTGTCTTTACCCTGTGCTTGGCATTGTGTCAGGTTGACATTCACTGGCATACCGACAAGGCACACGGTGTAAGTTCACATACACATCAACAGAGGGGTTATGCATGTGTAAACTCCACACTACTCCCACTCCAATCCACTCCTTGAATTTCTTTCTAACGGCTATGCAATCTCTATCCCTATCGCACTGCCAAAACACTGATGCTTCTCCTTGCAAAGGAATTCATTTTTACAAAACATTAGATTTCGTTTTCTCATTTGCTCTGCCTACTGTGATTGTAGCCCTGACAATCCCATGTCTTACCTTTCCCACTGACATGAATGAATAGAATCTATGAGCCAGCCTACATTCTCCCTTTTTAACCCGATACTACATTTGGTGTTGAACATGCACAGGCCTTTCTTCTGGCTTTAATAGATATCCTCCCAAGATACAACGGAGGAAACAAGGCTCTGAGAGGTTATGTAGATGCCAAAGGTGGTCGGCAAACTCATTAGTCAACAGCCAAATATCAACAGTACTTCTTCAAAATAGACTCGCCCAGGCCGAAAACCGACTTCTGCGCAGGGGCCACGAAATTTCAATCGCACTTTACATGCGCCCGCACATGGTCTTTTGTGGAAAAGCCACACTCAAGGGGCCAAAGAGCCGCATGTGGCTCGCGAGCCGCTGTTTGCCCACCAAGGGGTTAGGAGAAGGAACACTGAGGTCAGACACTCTTTTGTTCTCAACCTTCTGTTTAGTAGCTTCTGTTTGTCTTAAACATGACTTACCTGTCAGTGGCAACTATAAGTGTAATTTGTAGAACACCATGTCCAGTGTCACTAGGTGGCAGACATAGTGGATACCATGTTAGAATTCTTCTTATCACGATCTTTAGAGCATGCTTTGTTAGGCCCTACAGTTGATGCTAGAAGACTAGGGAAAGGATTATTGGGATTGTTTGAGAATACATGGGAAACATCACTGTGATTTGTTGGACAAACAATTTTTGTTGTTGTTAGGAACTTACATATCTTAGAGCAGACTGATCCACCTCCACAGGTTTGTTCAATGAAGGCGGTTCCCTCTATTGGTAATGTCCACACACTTCTGTTTGGGGAGGGAGGAAATTCTTTACAAAAGAGTAGGGGTCTCATTTGTTTCATGAAACCCTAATTTAATAGTTCTTTTACATGTGTAACATAATTCAGGGGTCCACAATCTACAGGCTGCTGTCTTTTTTGATAAAGTTTCATTAAAACACAGCCATGCTCATTCATTCTCATATTGTCTCCAGTTGCTTTTGTGCATAAAATCAGATTTAGAGTTACCTCAGTATGTCGATTTTCTTTCATTGTTCACTTCCAATCATTTTTAGACATCATTTCCTCATTCATTGTTGATAAATTTTAATTTATAGTTTACTGCACAGGATGGCTTCCAGTATTCATTTCTACTGTTCAGGCATACCTATATTCTTGTTTCAGGTCTGACACTATTATGAGTTCTCCAAGAGGTGTGGGAAACTTAATCTAACCATAACCTGCAACTGTTTTATCCTTGTAAAAAGTTGAAATTTTTCTACAGCTCTGGACAGTGATGAATATCCCATGCATACTGCTAGACTTCCACTTGGTAATAAATTGCTAATGGACATGGCTTTTACATTACATTTTCTTCCGTGAGAGTAAATAACTTACTTTGTAATAATATAGGAGTTTATCTTTCAACACATGCATACCTACATGCAAATTCTACTCTCAATATTTATACATTTAATTCTCTGAGATCAGGAAGGCAGGTACTTGCAAATGGGAAATATTTGCAAATATGGCACTTAAACACATATTTATTGAGAGCCCATCATTATGTTAGACTAGTATCTATGTGAAATATTTATTGAATAGTATTGTTCATGACTAGACAAGTCTTGCTTACTGAATCATATGTTTATTCTAAGGAACACATGAGATAAGGTATTGAATGTGCTGTGAAAAATGTAAAAGATGGCGTACATGCCAAATATCATTACTTTATCTTACAAAACCTTTTTTGTTTTCATGTCACTGTTTTTAGTGTAACAAGTAAATTTTAAAACAGTACAGGTGTATTATTTTTATGGCACATGAGTAAAAAAAATTCTAGGTATACCACTGAAAACATGTTTCCTATGTGAACTCATATGATTTGTAGTACCTTCTAGAATGCATGCTTAAGAATGATTCTGAGGCCAGGTCTAGATTTACTCAGAAAGAGTGCAGTGATCCAACAGCAATGTCTGCTATTGGGAAAGAACAGGGAGTTGTGCCATTAGTTGCAATATATTTGGTATCTCAGAGAGAGATGTTTGTATTTAAGTGCTTTGAATGAGATAAAATGGAGTGATTGTTCAGACAATCACTTTCATTCATTCACCTGCAATCACAATTCATCTTCAGTCCTTTAAAAATGGTAAGCAGAAAAAAACAGTGCTGAGTTATAGTTGTAATTTATTATTTTAATGAAAGAACATGTTTAATAGGAAAAGTCTTTGTGAATTCAATATCAAGTTTAATGACATATTCTTAGACTCATCATCATTCACAAATAGGCACAGAAGCTTTTATTTTGTCAAATATCATAATGGAGTGGGCTCAGTGAAAATTTTAATTCATGTCAATTTATACATATGAAAAGGATTTTAATTGTGGGAATGATACATATACATGATGAAAAAGTTCACACAGTATGCAATAAAAAGGAGATCTCCCTCTCAGGCCAGGCTCTGCCATTCCTATACTCTTGTGCCCAGTGGCACCCACTATTAAGTTTTATCTGTATTTTCCAAACCAAGTCTATTCAGATACAAATGTGTATGTAGATATGTACAGAGACAGGCACACACACACCCTTTTGTACACAAGTGGGAACATATTAAATGCACAGTTCAACAACCTGCTATTTTCACTTAACAATATATCTTGAACATTATTTTCTACCAGCACCTGTGTAGTCTCAGCTGCTTTCTTTCATTTTCTCTTAATTTGGTGTTGACATTTTAAAAATAAATAATTACAACCTTTTTATAAAGTTTTCTGCTAATGCAGAGGGTAACAAAGACAGTAAGAGCTGGGTGATAGATAATATCAAAGATGAGCCTTATACCAATGGCCACAAACATTTATACATGGCAATAAACAGATATGCAATTAAATTTTTAGATGTAGTGTTTAAGTACATAACACTCCAGCAATTCAGAATTTGTAGTGTTTTTCTCCAGTGTGATTTCGTTGATGCAGGGTAAGAGTTGAGCTCTTACTGAAGGCTTTTCCACATTCACTACACTCATAGGGTTTCTCTCCTGTATGACTCCTCTGATGCACAATAAGGTGCATACTTTGACTGAAAGATTTCCCACATTCATTACATTCATAGGGTTTCTCTCCGGTGTGGGATCTCTGATGTATAACAAGTTGTGACTTTGCATTGAAGGCTTTCCCACATTCATTACATTCATAGGGCTTCTCCCCAGTATGAGTTCTCTGATGTACAATGAGGTGTGCCTTTTGACTAAAGGCTTTCCCACATTCATTACAGTCATAGGGTTTCTCTCCAGTATGAACTCTCTGGTGTTGAGTAAGGCCTTCAATTTGTTTGAAGGCCTTCCCACATTGTTTACATTCAAAGGGACTTTCACCCGTATGTGTTCTCATGTGGTAAGTAAGAGATGAGCTATGTCCAAAGGCTTTTCCACATTCATCACATTTGTAGGGTTTCTCCTTAGTATGAGTTCTCTGATGTATACTCAGGTGTGACTTCTTGTTGAAAGCTTTCCCACATTCATTACATTCAAAGGGTTTCTCACCTGTATGAATTCTCATGTGTTTAGTAAGTGATGAGCTATACTTAAAGGCTCTTCCACATTCATTACATTCATATGGTATTTCACCTGTATGAGTTCTTATATGTTCAGTAAGAGATGAGTTATACCTAAAGGATTTTCCACATTCCTTACATTCATAGGGCTTTTCGCCTGTATGAGATCTCACATGCTGAATAAGATTTGAGCTGTGTCTAAAGGTTTTCCCACATTCGGTACATTTGTAAGGCTTTTCCCCAGTATGAACTCTTAGATGGTCAGTGAGGGCATGCTTATGACCATGGGCTTTGCCACACTGATTACATTCATATGGTTTTTCTCCCGTGTGAGTTCTCTGATGTACAACAAGGTGTGACTTCTGGCTAAAGGCTATCCCACATTCATTACATTCATATGGTTTTTCCCCAGTATGAATTCTCTGATGGTCTATAAGTCCTTGTTTATGGCTGAGAATTTTCCCACACTGATTACATTCATATGGCTTCACTTTAGCTTGAGTTGTATCACACTTAGGAGGAGATGAGCTATGGCTGGATGATTTTTCACGTTTCTCTCCAGTTTTATTTTTGTTCCATTTAGTATGGGATGATCCATGACGAACTAATTTTTCATGTTTCTTGTCAGTTTGAGTTTTGTCACACCTATTAGATGAGGTATCATTGGCTAATTTCTGTTTCTTACCAATTCGATTTTTGTCTTTCTTTGTTTCAGATAAGCTACTGCTAGATGATTTTCTGTGCTCTTTAGCTACATTAGGTTTCTTTTTTGAAGAGTCTACATTCTGTTTCAAACTTTTCCCCTGTGAATTGAATTTAAGAATCTTTTTTTTTAAAGGAACTTGTGTTGTACTCACATTTTTTTCCCCCAATGAGCTACATTCATGGCCTTTCTTCTTTGTCAGAGATTTTTTCTTGAATGCAACTTCCTTAAGGAGTTTTTTTTGAGATTCCTGGTGACTCTCTTCTAGCTGGTCATCATCTTGTTGGCCCATTTCTTCTAAAATGGAATTCAGTGAGACATTCTTGAGAACCTTTGCACTGTCCTATTTTAGATTACAATTTATAAAGAAATGCCCTGTTTGAATCTTTATTCCAGCCTAGTATCCCAAAATGAATGAAATATCAGGCACAAATGTCCCTATCCTCTTGGACTTGAAGAGGAAAGTGCTGTAGTAAAAACAGTAAAAGAAAATTGACAATAGTGATCAGAAAAAGTTGTGACTATTTATAAATATGACCTTGTAACATGGGATAGAAGATGAAATATATAAAAGGAGCAGTGAATAGGAAATAGATGTAGTTAAAAGGCTTTCTGGTTGTAGTTGCCATATTTTGAATTCTCTCCTCAGCCCAAGCTTCTGAGCTTTGATAACTGCCAATCCACCTATAGTAACCGACTCCTGTAGCCTGTACTATATTAATCCAATTATCCATGGTCATAGTTGGAGGCACATCTGGCTCAAGCCAAGATGTCCAATAGGGGTCTTCCTCCTAAAAATTTAGACTCTAGTTAGTCTCCACTGGGTTCTTAAATTTTAAAATGATATAAGACAAATAAAGTAAGTCTGCATTTTCCTTGTGCAAACAAAATACATCAGTAGAAAGGATGGATGTATATACATCCACAGTAAAAGCAGAGATGTAAGATCACATGTCTTCAAAGAGACCAACTGCATTAGATAAATTTCTAATGGCTTTCCAGTCCTGGTTCTAGTCCCTGGTAAGGCCTAGCTGAAATATCTGCCTTCAGGTTACAAGAGATCTACCCATGTCCTTGTAATAAATTCCTCTATTTACTTAGACTAGCTCAAGTACATTTTTTAAAATATATTTTTATTGGTTTCAGAGAGAAAGGGGGAGGGAGAGAGAGATAGAAATATCAATGATGAGAGAGAATCACTGATTGGCCACCTTCTGCATGCCTCTTACTGGGGATCAAGTCCACAAGCTGGGAATGTGCCCTTTGACTGGAATCGAACCTGGGACCCTTCAGTCCATAGGCTGATGCTCTATCTACTGAGACAAACCAGCTAGGGCATCAAGTACATTTTTGTTATAGTACCCTAAAAATCCAAAATAGAGAAAATAAGGTAAGTCTACCAAGGAGTACTGAACAGCTTACAGGTAGGTGACTGAAGAAATAAGCAAGAAGAGTATTCCACTGCTACTATCCATGATCAATGTAATAGTGACATTCCTGTACTAAAAAAAACCCAAAAAAACAAACCACCACCACCACTAACAACAACAACAACAACAAAAACCTACAGTTTCTCTGAGTTCCTTGATGCTTTTACAACAACAAAAACAAAAACCTACAGTTTCTCTGAGTTCCTTGATGCTTTTACCATATGATAGTGATGAGATTGTCAAACAAACTTCATATCATTTGGATGTACAGTGTATACACACACTTATTTCCCAATATATTTCTATGGAGCATACCTGTGT